TCAGACCTCTTTTAAAAAGGACAGTTTTGCCAGGCGTTGATGGCTCACGCCTTTAATTCCAGCACTCGGGAGGCAGAGGCAGGCGGATCTCTGTGAGTTTGAGGCCAGCCTGATCTACAGAGCAAGTGCCAGGACAGCCTCCAAAACAATACAGAGAAAGAAACCTTGTCTCGAAAAACCAAAAAGACAGTTTTTCACTCTGTGTAGACCAAGATTCAGGATTCTACCACAGAGTTCTTCCTGTCTTTGTCTTCCCTAGTTCTAGGCTCAAAGACACATGCCGCCACACCTGGCTCTATTCCTTTTTTCCCAACCTCTTTAGCGCTATCTGTGACCAAGCTTATTCCAGAGCCACAGTGCTGCAGAATATTATTTTAAGATACGTTACATTAGTTTATGCTGGGGAACATCCGTTTTAACGGTGGGAAGATGTGTTGCATCCTTTAATGTTGCATTTGTTCAACTCTGAAAGGCTGTGCTACTGTGCCTGTTTGTCTAATAAAGACCTGAACAGCCAATAGCAAGGCAAGAGACAGGGTAAGAGTGACAGGCTGGCTGAGGGAATAAATAGAAGGAGAAAAAAAAAAAAAAACAGGGAGAAGGAAGGGAGATCAAGGAGCCAGGGAAAAGAAGGAGACAGCCACCCAGCTACACAACCAGCAATGGAGTAAGAAAGAAAGAAAAGTTACACAGAAATAGAGAAAGGTAAAAGCCCCACAGGCAAAAGATAAATAGGACAATTTAAGAAAACCTGGCTAGAAACAAGCCAAGATAAGGACGGGCATTTGTAAGTAAGAGTAAGTCTCCAGGTGTGATTTATTTGGAGCTGGGTAACAGGTCCCTCCCCAAAAGAGCAGAAGAGAAAAAACAAACAAACAAACAAACAACAATAACAAAACAACACCCAAGTGGACCTCGTTTACAACTGAAGAACAGAATTCTAATGCCCTCTGATTTCCTACACCAGTAACACAAGACATGCTATTACTAGCTTGAGAAATGAAAAATTCTGTATTGTCCGATTCAGACAATCAGTTTGAGAGACGGGGACTAAATCTGGAGCCTCCACAGCGGAAATGCACTGCCCCAGTCATTCCCGAGGTAAACGCAGTAAGTGGCCCCTTCTATGGCCCTTTGAGGCACAGAACATGAACCTGGGTTTACAGAGAGGGGTGCCATTTTTCAGCTTTCCACAAAATTATGTTCTACCTCCGAGTGTACCTTGGTTGCATAACTCCGAAGTCACACAACAAGGGGGAAAAGAAACAGGAGTGGTATTGAGGTTTGGTATTCATCCATTCTGGAGATGTAGAGAGGAGTGGCGCAGCCAGGCAGGGATTGGTGGAATCACTTCTATATGAAAGGCAAGAAATAATGCTGAATCAAAGCCAGAGCTTGTGGCATTTTTAAGAGCAGGGCCTTGCCCCTGAGATCATAACCTGCTGCCACATAGGTGGAAAATTAAAGGCTTGGGGTAAATATCATCATCACCATCATCACTATCATCACCGCCGTCATCACCATGTGTGTGCACCTGCATAAAATGAAGATTCTGCTTCAGAACCAGGAATGGCATCTGATGTTGTCTCATTTTCTTTTATTTTTAATTGATATATGATATTTGTACTTATTTTATGCAGTAAAGTATTCTAATTCAATACATGTTTTCAATGTGTGCTCATCCAGTCGGGATAATTAGCATTTTGGACTCAGCTTTTCTATTATGTGGACATAATGGAACTTGCTCTTTTAGATTGTAGTTGCCCTACTGTGCTTTTTAGTATTAAAATGACTCTCTCTCTCCCTCCCTCTCTCTCTCTCTTCCTTTCTCTCTCTGTCTCTCTCTCTCTGTCTCTCTCTGTCTGTCTCTGTCTCTGTCTCTGTCTCTGTCTCTCTCTCTTTCTCTCTCTCTCTCTTGCTATATTTTGGTGCCCGGCATCCTTGTTCTTGCTCTCCATTCTCCTGCTCTTCTTAGTCCTAATGACCCCCATCCTACCGTCTGTGTCAGTGTGGTCAAATCCTCAGAGGGCGCTACCCAGGCTGTTGCTGGCCCCAGGTGGTACTTAGAGGGTTCAGAATTTACAACATTCCGGGTTCACTCACCAAAAAAGTAAAAAGACGTTTGAACCACTTTACCATCTTTTTTTTTTTTTTTTACGTGAATTTGAATATTACAGTCCAGGAAGGACAAGCCACGCAGCGAGCCAGGCTCCTGCAAGGCAACTTGGACAGCAACCTAACGTGAAGCATCTGGGACAGAGCAGAGCTTGCTCGGAACTGATGCTGTAATTACAGAGAAATCGCAGCCTGTAACTCCAGGGAGGACCAGCTGTGGGACCTGAATGCAGCCTGTCCTCCACTGGAGTTGCTTAAAGAGCTTGTGAAGTCCAGGTTCACTCCCCCCAATGGGTTGGAGACATGTACGATGGATCTGGGAGAAGCTGGTGTCGAGTCCCAGTTGAGCTCAACCTTGGGAATCCAGAAGGCTCTGCAGCTGGGCGCTCTGCCCATTTCTTTCCAAAATGCAACTCGGATTTCCAAGTGTTCCAGATACCTGCCCCGGGGTCTGTGAGATTCTCTAGCCAGATGTTTTCCTTCCAGCTGTGCTCTAGACCCCACCCTTTCCCACAGCTTGGCATGCTACGCTTTGGGGAATGTGATGCTTCGATTGCAGACACCTCACTGTGGAAGTAAGTGAGAGTATGCATAGCATTGTGATTCGAGCGGTGCAAAGGTAGCGTTTCCCAAGTGTCCATGGGTGACTGAGTCTGGATGACAGCCACGGTGTTCCAAAATTCAGCTGGGCATTGGCAGATGCCACACGGGGGGGAGTATTTGGGGAAAACACATCTGTACGGTCCACACATTGATGCTTTCTCCTGCCGCTGTTTTCTGAACGCAGTGTAACAACTGTTTACATAACCATCTCTATAGTAAGTGCTAGACTTCATCCAGGGAAGGACCAAAGGCATATAGAAGTAAAAACACAGGTTATACATTGAAAGACCCCGAATTTATAGAAATAAAATATAAGCTTAAACAAGGAGGGCACCCCACTAGAGAACTTGGGAAGTGAACAAAGGACCCCATCCCAGGAACTGGCCAAACCACAGAATGAAATGTATGGTTTAGCAACCTTAATTGCAGAAGGGCTGTAAACCCACAAAAGGCCAATTCCGGGCTGCTGACCACCTGTGAAGAACTTACCAGGGCATCAGAGATGGGCAAACAAGATTCGTGGGAAGCAAAGAGATGATAACTACCATTTACTTAGGGAGAGATGATTAACTCATACCAAGGTTTGAGGAATTTACAACGTGTAGGTCAGGAAGACATCTACTTCCCCTGGTCAGTAGTCACATACCCCCCTGTCACAGGATAGGGACCCCTCCCAAAGGCTTGTGGTTTTTGTCTTTAAAAGCTGATTGTAACTGAACCTCGGGGCCAATCAGTCTAAAAGCTGACCGAGAGGCCCATCTGCAGATGCCTAATTAAAGCCTCTTGCGTGTTGCATCAATTGGCGCGTGGACTCTTGATTTTTGGGGTGACGAATCCAGCTTGGGGACCCCTCCTCAATTAGGGGTACCCCAACAATATAAACACTATTCCTTTTAAAATGCAGACTTAAGCACCCTAAACTTGTTGTTCCCAAGGTCCTGGACGATTCCCTGAAGATACTGAGAAACAGGCTGTGTACGTACAGTGTGGGATATTATCCCTTCTTAAGGAAGGAAGGGTATGGCATGGCAGTGCATGTATGCTGTATGCAACCTCAGCATTCAGCAGGCTGAGATAGGAGGATCATACGTTCAAGACCATCCTGATCTATAGTGAGATAGACCATACCTAAAAAGACAAACTGTGATGTCTATTCTTGGTTGCCAGCTAGAATTAACTAAACCCCAAGTGACTGGGTATGCCTGTGAGTGATTTTTTTTCTTCCTTAATTAAACCATTTGAAATAAGAAGGCCCACTTTTAATCTGGATCTTTTAACATGGGAAAATCTACCTTTACCGTGAACCGCATCTTTGGCTGGCAACCTATATAAAGGACTTGGAAGAAGGAATCTTGCTCTATTTGCGTAACTCTCACTGGCAAGCCTGTCCTGTCACTGGCGTTAGAGCCTGCTTCTTCAAGATTCTGATGTATACTGAAGACCAGTTGAGGCATCCAGCCTCACGGACTGGGCGACTCCTGAATTCTCATACTTCTGTTGGTAGACAGCCAGCTGGCTGAACCACACCCTGTAAACTGTGTTCCCTTCATCTAGAGGATACTGACTAATACAGAAACAGACACAAAAGAAAAAATTGAACAAAGACATATACCGTTTGAGGTAAGGAATAGCCTAGAAGCAAGACTTCACTTCCCAGGTCTAAGGGCTTAGTCAGACCTTGACTGAGCACACACAGATTCCCCCTTGGAGAAGGGATTGCCTGCACAGCCCAGACCAGCCTAATACTGTGTTGGCCAAGCTTGGCCCGCAGACAGTGTCAAACCATTGCCTAACTTCCGCGGGGCCTCTGCACCTGAAGGTCTGTGGAGCCGGCCATTTCTCTCCTGCTCCTAGAGTTTTCCCTGTGTCCGGGAACTTGGGAAATGAGGTCTAGGCTGTTGCAGGCTTGGGTGTCTTGGTGAGAGCCCAAGTTCTTCTTCTAAGTTGGCCCTTGAAGGCTACATTGTCTGAGTCTGAACTGAAATGGTTGGAGGTAAAAAAAAGGGAGTGAATTGAACATAATATGAACCCTATATCTCAGCACCCTCATCGTATGTAAGGGAAAGGTGCCCAGGTCTAATTGCACCTAGAGTTCATCTCTGAGTGTTATCACAGTTCTCCCGAAGGACGGTCTCTCAGGACTCAGCACTCATTTTTTTGAAGGAAACCCTCACCTGTCCTCTCCTGGTGAATGCCACCACCCACCATGAAGTGCATGGCTCAGATGGAAGCCAACCCCCTATTTTCAGAAGGGACTGGGGAGAAAGCAAATCTTAGGGTACCTCATCTTGGGAACTGAGAAGTAAACTGGAACCAGGAGACATTGGTAACAGCAGCTCCTCCAGGCCTCAGCCCGCCTTTCCCGGCCACGCCCTTCCCGGCCACGCCCTTCCCGGCCACGCCCTTCCCGGCCACGCCCACGCTGGAGCTCCCTTCTTAAAGGATGAAGAACATTAAGAAGCTTCTAGTACCAACGGTCTCCCAGAGTAAACAGAGAAGTGTGCTCAGCTTGCTTGGTGGGCCGAGAGGGAAGGCTGCATGGGAGAGAGCAGAAGTTAGATGGGCTGTGGTCAGAATAATTCCTATGGTACTGGCTCTGTTTGTATGCAAATTTTAAATAGTGTCTCCGACTCTCAACATGAAAACGTTTGGGAGGCTTGGGATTTTGAAGTAGTGTAGTGTCACACACACACACACACACACACACACACACACACACACACTCCAACTTCTTGCAAACAGCACTGTCATTCAAGGCCTATAACATTCTGCAGTGGTGTCTGGAAAAAAAAACCAAACGACGACAACAATAAAACAGCAGAGCTGTGGCTGTCCCAGCCCTGGTCCTCCTCCTGCCTGGCTCTACAGGGTGAGAATATTGCTCCAGTCATTCAAATGCAAACTGCTCCCCAGTCCCCAGAGCCAGTTAACTCAGACCCCTCTAGGAAAGTGCTTTTCATGGCTCCCCAGTGAATACCGTGGAAACCATGAGTGATTCAATAGCACCGGTGAAGCCAGCCATACATCTGGATCCTAAAGATGCAGTGGTCTTTCTTTCTGAAGTCACTGGTGGAGGGAATGAGGTAGGGCGGAGGGACTGCTATTGCTTCATTCAAATAATGCAGGCGCACCACAATACCACTCAGTTTTATTGTATTCTCCATCAACAGAAATCGGATGTGGTAAATACAATAACTCACTTGTCATAGAGTCACTAGTGGTAAAAATGGCTTGGGGCTTACGATGTTCAGGGGAAAAACAACAAGAGTCTGTTTCAGAACTCTTGTTGTCTGTAGGACAGGAGTTTCAAGCAGGGAAGCTAGAACCTCAGGCAAGTGTCTCGGGTTTTACAACAAGTGTGTGTCCTCTGAGTGTAAATGTGTGTGTGTGTGTGTGTGTGAGCCTTTATCTGAGCGTGCCTGTGCATGAGTAGGGGTGTGCCTGTGGGTGTGTATCCGTGCATGAGTATGAGTGGGCCGGTGCGTGAGTGTGCATGCTAGGCACGTGTGTGAGTGTCACGGTGTGTGACTACGCCTGAGTGTGAGTGTTCTTGGCTACGTGAATGCATATGATTCTGTGCACGTGGGTGAGAGAGCCTGCGTGTGTGAGAGGGTACACGCACAAGTGCACGCACATTGATGGGAATCCTCCAAAGGTGAAAAGCAGAGCCACGCAATGCTTTGGTAGCAGTCTGTCCGACGGAGATCACCTGGGTTGTTCTTTCAATATCTTTAATTTTAAAACACACATACAAAGATGGGAAACACTACTAACACCATGATGTTTTGTGGCGTTTTACATTTTATGGATTTGGAATGATTTGTGACACCTGGGAAATCGTCTGTGAGAAAGAAAGGCCTTTGCTTTTGAGAACACTGCTGTGCTCACTGGACGTCCCTCTCGGGCTGGGCAGTGATGCCCCTGGTGAATGCTGCCAGCTGTGAAGACTGGGTAGCTGCAGGCCTCAGACTCCATCTTACTGGCTTTTAAAAAAAAATATCTGAGCCGTTTCAAATAGAAATTCATGGCCTTAAATAAATATGAATGATCAGAGACCAAGGCCCCTTGGGAAATTAAAACTCTTTAAGAAGACAAAGGCTGAACACTTTATTGTTGAATTGCTAAGTGTTCTTAATCTCTAGGCAAACTTGACATAATACTCCCAGTCTCTGTAAAACTCAGTGTTTGCCACTAAAATACATTGCCAGCAAACTCACCTGGGTAAATATATATACCCTGATTCTGACATTACTATAAAAACTACAAGGGGGATCAGGAGATGGTGGGTTTGGATTGATTTGGTTTTTGACTTTCGCATTACTGATTAAAGTCCAACCCTGTCTAACAGTACAGTTTATTTTTATATTTCTATATGCTAGCTCTTCCATATCAATATCAATATCAGTTACACGCACAGATACACACTCACAGACACACATAGGTGCACACTCAGACACACACACAAACACACACAGATACAGGTAGATACACACAGACACACACACACACACACACACATGCTTCAAATGTATGTCAATGCACAATTTCTGAGACCAGAGTGAGATAACATTTCCAGGACAGCTTCTCAATGTACGACAGAACATTGCATTGGTTTTTTTTTTCTGGAGGATGTCAAGTTGTTTATTTTTATGATAACAAAGCTGTTCTTCGGAAAGTTCCAGGTACCAAGAGAAACGTTGCCGTGAGCCATGTGAATTACACGTTCAGGATGCCAGTGGCATTCGGGAGCAGCTGTGACAACGGACTGGCCTCCTCCAGAATGCCTGGAGCTAGGACATAACTCTCCCACCCCTTCCGAATCCAGTGGTTCAGAGAGCACACCTTTGGCAGAGGTGTATTGTAGGAAACACACAATTCCAACAAAAGGCAGAGGTAGTCTCAGCAGCAAGAGGCTCGTGAGCTTGAGGCCATCCTAGGTTATATGATAGCCAGAGTCTGCAGTGAAATGGACAAATGAAAATAAAGAAATTCATTTTAAAAAATCTTTGTCTACTCTACCAGATATTCTGTGTGACATTTGATTCATTTCTGCATTCGTATCGGAACTCCTTTGGCGGCAAAGGCTGGCAATCCAGGCGGGATGAAATACTCATAGGCTGGGTACATGCAAGTATTCAGACTGCTCCCACCAGGTCCTCTTTCTCTCTCTATGCGATTCTGAGGCTGTGGTTCCAAGGTGATGTCTCCCATGCCCATGGTGCCCTGAGATTCTAAGAAAGCCTGCTGAATTTCAGTCGGCCTCACCCCCAACCTCTTTCTTCTAAAATGGCTCAAGTTTGTTTTTTTTTTTTATTTAGAAACAAGCTTGCTTCACATGTCTATCACAGCTCCTTCTCCCTCCCCTCCTACCCCACCCCCACCAGCCCCTCCAGCCCCCCAACCCCCACTCTGTTCCCCAGGGAGGGTGAGAGGCCCTTCATGGGGGAGTCTCCAGAATCTATCACTCTGTTCAGGGCAGGGCCTAGACCCTCCCCCCGGGAGTCCATGCTGAGAGAGCATCCCTCATTGTGGGATGGTCACCCAAAGTCCATTTGTATGCCAGGGATAAATATTGATCTATTACCCAAGGGCCCATAGATTACCTAGGCCTCCTCACTGACACCCACATTCAGGGGGTCTGGATCAGTCCCATGCTGGCCTCTCAGCCATCAGTCTGGGGGTCCAAGAGCTCCCCATTGTGCAGGTCAGCTGTTTCTCTGGGTTTCACCAGCCCAGTCTTGACCCCTTTGCTCATCACTCCTCCCTCTCTGTCACTGGGTTCCAGGAGTTCCGTTCAGTGTTTAGCTGTGGGTGTCTGTCTCTGCTTCCGTCAGTCCCTGGATGAAGGCACTAGGACGGACGGCCCAAGTTTTTGATGACAACACTATTAGATTTAGGCAGACCATGTTCATTTCTCACACTACCTTTCTACCAAATACAAAATTGGAAGCCAGGTGTGGCGAGGCATGTCTGTTAATCACACACTCAAGAAACTGAAACGGGAGGATTTCAAAGCCAAGCCAGACTAGGCTACATAGCAAATTCCAAGCCAGCCTGAGCCATGCAACAAGGCCCTGTTTCAGAAGCGGGAGGTATGCATTGTGGGAATTTTCCCCACACAGTCAAGAAAAGTGTCTTGGCCCTGCTGCCATCTTGGCAATAGCTACTGATGGGAGCACTTTCCTCTTTTAGTATGACACGTCTCAGGGAACATAGTAAAATAGAGCTAAGCGGGTTTTTTATTTTTAAAAAAATCACACTTCTGCTTACGGCTTAGGAAAGGAATCTAGACGAAAAGAAAGACAGTGTCAGATTAAGCCATTTTAATTGCATGACCGACAACCCACCCCCACTCCCCTCCGCACTAAGTGGCGTCGGAAAGGGTTCCGGCATCAGCGCTGCGGGCTGCTCACCACCAGATGGAGCCATTGCCTACAGTGCGCACCCCGCCTCTGCACTTTTTGCCTTGGGGAGGGGCAAAGAAAAAAAAATCCCAGTATACTTTAACATATAACGTCCTGTATGCAACATTCACGGAGTCACAAATGCCTCTGATCCATGGTCCTTCTTTGTCATAGGCTTGCAGTTGAAGTCAGGACCCTATTCAGCCTTCTCCAGGCTTGGAGGATGGCAGTGACTTAGGCTGCCTCTTAAGGCAATACAGGCACCACCACGTATGCAGAAGGCTACATTTACCGGCGTCTGAAAGAAAGGCTCCAATTGAAATCGTTCTTCAGAGAAGCAGGGTCGAAATCAACAAAGGGGCACGCGAGAAGTGTACTGCACCTGTGGAACACATTTAGCTACAGCAGAAAGAGAGCCTGAGGTGTAGGTGGCTGGGATTGTGAGCCACGGACGCCTTAGGCTGTCTGGAGGCAGTAGTAACACCTTACCCTCTCCAAATGAAGCCCTGCGTGCGTTGGGGCCTCCTCCACCCTGCAGAATACCATTCCCTGCAGGGAGCTTTATTTGCAGTAAAGCTGGGTGGGACCTGGGTAGCAGTTGAGCCGGAACCATCAGTAAGGGATGAAGGCAGAGGGACAAAGAGACCACCGCCTACCAAGCCTCGCAGCAAAGGCCACCAAGATGCACCTCGGTGTGGGTGTCAGGCTGCACTGGCCCCCGAGCTTTCTCAAATTATTCTGTCACTACCCCGAGATGACTCCCTCCGGGACATATTGGCTTTACAGCTTTGTTGGTGGGTGCAGCCGGACTGAGCCCAGGGCCTTGTGTAAGCCCAACACACACACTCTTACCACTCTACCGCTGAGCTGCAAAGCTGCAACCCCCAGTTCCGGCGGCAGCAGCAGCAGCTTCCTGGGTCTCAGAACACCTGAACTACTGCCCTGATTACCGAGCTTGCTAGCGATGTGCCCATGGGTGACAGTGAGGGGAAAGGCCAAAGAGGCCAGCTTCTCTGGGACTCCCCAGCCATGCCCATTCTAGGTCTTATAAATCTGCTGAGACAGCCCACAGGCAGGGCCAGGGAGTCCATGAACCAGGTGACACTGGTCCGCTTCTATTTCCAAGCACTTAGGATTTGCCCCAGCTGGACAAGGAGACATCAGGGACTTCATACATGTGACAAATCCCTCTTTCTCTACCAGACCTTAAGCACGTTTCTCTCGGGGGAGCCAAGCACGTTGCTGTTAGGCAGGCAGCCCATGTGGGGAAAGCATGGTGGCACCCTTCAAGAGAGCAGAGACCGAGAGGCGGCTGTGGGGGCCTCCTTCTCCTCCTTCCCACTCTGCGGCACAGCACCCAGGCACCACTGCAACGAAACGGGCAAGGCAAGTGTTATTTTAAGAAATAAAATTTCCCAGAACTCTGAAACACTCCAAGAACACGTTCAAAGAAAGCTATTTTTGTCCTTTGAAGGTTAGGCTAATATTTAATCCTTCTCCTCCTCGAATCATCTGATTTACGGCAAAGATAAGCCCTTCTCCAGGTTCCCAAGAGAAAACTGCACCCGCAGTGCGAAGCCCTTGCTTTCTGCTGACGAGCAAATGGTGGTGCCAAGGTGGGTGGCCCCCTGAGGGACAGGTCAGACCACGTGTTTGCAGAAGTCCTCAGTCACTGTGGGAATGAGATGGGATCCCTTCCTTTTGTTCGCCTTTCTCTCTGTCTCTAGATCCCGAGGCCACTAGGAAAGTTTAACATGACTTATAGAAAGCAAGATATCATCACCTTTCTGTAGGTCAAAGCCCGATTGCAGGATTAAAAGAGAATTGTTTGTATTTCTTTTTGTTTCCAGGTTCATAATTTATTGTACAGATTGAGTATTACATGATGAGTTCACATCAGCTTCTTCGGGCATGGGACACAACAGATGAGGTTAGACATTTCAAAATCCATTTATGATGCTTTCACAGCTGGGTTTTTTTTAGACCTTAACTTGGAGTATAAAACCAACAAAGCAATGCCTCCATATGCGGCCAGTACACAATTCATTCTACCTGTGAGAGTGTAAGAGTTGAGATACTTTTTAATACCAGTGAACTGGAATTGGCTATCACTTTCTGCACCAGCCATGACTTCAATCTTAGCCCAAATCACAAATTCCGCAGCTGATGTCCTTCAACAGACCCAACCACCCTTTGTATTTCTTTCATAAAATAATGGTACACTTTTCTGTCACCTAGGGCAAATTTAATTGTACACTATTTTTTTACTTAATCTTTTAAATTATTCATAGATGCATGCCAATTCTTTTCTTCCAGTCTAGCCTTGGACTACCATAACTGGAGACTGCTTGTCCCTCCAAAGTGACCCGCACTGTCTCCCTCTCTGTTCTCCTGTGTGGATGCTCACAGCTCACAGGCGACATGGCGGAGAGAGACAGATGCCCACATAGGACACACAGAGAGTGAAGGAAAAGGGATGGAAAAGGAGATTCCAAACACATGGTGACCATGAAAAAAACAGGGGAGGGGGTGCGGCCATACATAGACAAGACGGACTCAAAAGCAAAACTCTGACAAAGGTTTACCTCAGAAGAGCCTTTTCACCCTCAGAAGAGCCATTTCACCACAATAACTAATTACGCATACGCCTGATGTGGAGGCACTCAAACATACAAGGGGACCATGCACAGATCTGAAGAAGTCGAGAACCTAACACTGCCAGTAAGAGGCTTCAGTATCCTGTTTTCAACAGCGGACAAAGTATCCAGGCAGAAAACCAATGATTATAGACTTGATTCGCGTTATAAACCGGATGGATCTGACAGACCTGTAACACATCCATTCCAGCAGCGCACAGTGCTCATCCCTCCCAAATGCATGCAGCATGGTCTCCAAATGTCACCAAATCCAACAAAAATGGAAATAAGCTCCGGCCAAATTCCTCCCCTAACTACAATGAATAACTATGGAAACTAACACCAAAAGAAAATGGGACAATTAGCAAAAAAAAAAAAAAAGAAAGAAGACATGAACAGCCCACTTTTGTGAAACCACTAGGCCAAAGAAGAAATCAAGGCAGAACTTAGAAAACATCTTGAAACACATAGAAATGAAACATGCCCAAACTCTACAGGCTCAGCAGAAGCAACCTTGAGAGGGGAGTTTTAAGCGAGAAGTATCTGGGTTAAGAACAATCTAAGGTCAATAACCTGACTTCATACCTCAGGGAAATGAAGGAGGAGGAAGAGGAGGGGGAGAGGAGGAGGAGGAGGAAGAGGAGGAGGGGAAAAGAAGAGGAAGAAAGGGTAGGGGAAAAGGAAGGGGGAAGAAAGAAAAAAAAACCCCATATAGCTTAGTTGACAGAAGGAAGGAAATAGGAGAACGGAAGTAAATATAGCAAAGAATAGAAAGTTTACTTCAGGATTAACACAATGTACACGTTTTACTTTTAGCTTAAAATTGATTAGCATACAGACTTTTGGGTTATTTCAGATGGTGTCACAGCACCTCTGAGCAGTGTGTATTAGTGCATCTGCTTCTCCTCCTCCTCCTCCTCCTCATCCTCCTCCTCAGTCAGCTGTAACCCTGGTCACCCCCATGGTCTCCCCAAACCTCCTTTTCCCTTTTACACTGCAGCCACGGATTTTCATCGAAAGGCTCCCGGGGGAGGTGGCTCTAAAGGTCTGGGTGGTTACCAATGCGGCTACCATGATTTAGGAGTTCCCCGGGGCGGGGTGAGGGGTGTGTGGGGAACTTCATGATTCAAGGCTCTCCTGCAAACAGTTAAGGAGCCCAGGCTGGCCTTGTAGGACTGTCGGACAGGATTCCTGCGTGTTCTCATCAGCCATGGAGGAAAGGTCAACTAAGCTACAGGAAAAATACAGCACACGTGGATTCTCCAGTACGGCGTTCCTTTTTGATAGACTTGGTGGCACCCTAGAGCACAGGCTCCACCAGGTCTCTGTGCCTTCTGTTTCTTACACGCTTTGGAGGCTGTCCTGGAACTAGCTCTTGTAGACCAGGCTGGTCTCGAACTCACAGAGACCCAGATGTTTTTCCCCCCAAACATCCACTCAACTCCACTTTTTGAGTGGAGAATGAAATGAAGGAACACGAAAAGAGTTTAGGCAAAGGAATCATACCGGCATTCCTCCAAAGAAGACGTTTAAATGGCTACTAGATTTGTGGGAGTGTTGGGCGTCACTGGAAACGGAGGCAATGTGACTCGAACCCGGATAAGACAGATGGCTGTTGCTGGGACAAAGAGGACGAAACGACAGTTGGTGCAGATGTGCAGAAAATGAGGCCTCCTACATTTGTAGCGATGCGAAGTAGTCACTAAGAGAAACAATGTTGAGGCTCCTCAAAAAGAATCGAAAGCAAAACAACTTATGTGGTCCAAGCTGACTTCTGATACAGATGCAGAATTAGAGCCAGTCTCTTAGCTGCCACACTGTTCCCAATAGGGAAGAAAAGTCCACGGATAATAAAGAAATCAAGCGTGCCTGAAATCTTGCTCTACTCTGAGGAAGGCAATTCTTCCGTTTGCAAAAACACAGGTGAACAGGAAAGGTGTTGTGTTAAATAAGACCCAGTAGCAAAAGGAAAAGTTCCGTGACGCCTCACCCCTGGCAGTCGGGAGGTCAACCGGTTCATTTGTGTGAAGATTCCAGGTTCCAGCTGCTTTTGGATGAGCATTGCCTTCCAGGAAAATCTAGCCCAACACGCCGCTCTCAGCACAGGCTGGTTCTCAGCGGAGTCACTCACCGTAGCCATGCCAACCACAGGAAGGAAACGGATGCTCTCTCTGTCACTGGGCGTGAGTCAGGGCGCTCGGTAAATTTTGTCACTTGTTGTAAAGGGCATCAGTAAATGAGCATAAGCAGCAGGTATCCAAGGTCCTAAGAGCAGGCATTGCCATGCCTTGGGAAAGAAGATGGAAGTGAGGTACAGACAGTCGTGGATATACAGGGACTTCCTGGATATTGCAAGACCCGGAACATTGAAAATGTCAGTAAATTTCAGGGGAAAGTAATTCAAGGGAACCTCACTGCTGGCTTCATCACTGGAAGGACTCTTAGTAAAACCAATTGTCATTAATAGGTAACACTGGGGATTCAGTGTATATAACTCCAAAAGTCCATGTAGTCCATTAGTGGAACATACCCCTGCCTTAAAAGGCAAATGTTCCAAAGGGGTAGTGACCACCTAAAGCAGGCCAGGAAAGAACCTCAGTTTATCAGTCAGCATCATCACGTCCAGTTACACGGTACCAGATTGACTGAGTTTGCTTTTTCCCCCTTAAACAGAATGGTGATTCCTCATCCAATTACCGTGCAACTGATTCCCTCCTGAGAGCATTTACATAGTCGTCTTAATATTTGGCATATTACCTCCTAAATTTTTTCTACATACGCTGGCAGATTCCCACTTTTCAAGCATAATACAAAGAGTATTACGAGCCCCTCATCAACCCCCAAACTCTGGAATTAATTTTGAGTGTTTTCTAGGCAATGACATGTACAGAATGAAGCCATAAGTGTGTGACTGTGAGTATGAGCCACTGGAGATCTCCAACGTGAGTCTGACGGGTAAGAATGGTAGTTCTTACAATGCAACATCATGGTTCATTTTCCTCCTGCTTTTAAAAAATAATGAGGATAGAAAGTAGTAGTAATAATAATAATAATAATAATAAAAAAACATTAACAGAGATGTCGCAATCAGTTCTATGCCCAGCTGGTAAGCAGGGCCATAGTGAGGGTTCTCAAAATTGTGTTCAGGCCGGGCATTGGTGGCGCACGACTTTAATCCCAGCACTCGGGAGGCAGAGGCAGGTGGATCTCTGTGAGTTAGAGACCAAGCCTGGTCTACCGAGCAAGTCCCAGGACTGGCTCCAAAACAATACAGAGAAACCCTGTCTCGAAAAAACCCACAAAAAAAATGTGTTCTGCTGATGCCTATAGTGTTCAGTTAGCATATAAAAGGTAGACCAGAAACAAAAGTCAAAGGACAATCTAGGGGTTTCTTTGTTTCTTCCTTGTTGGCATTTTGTGGAGTGAAACAGACTGCAAACAGGAATATAATATCCATCCCAGGAGTTTACCTTGATAGGTGCAACTGCTCTCTATTCTTTTTTTTTTTTTTTTTTTTTTTAGTTTTATGAGACAGGGTTTCTCTGTATTGTTTTGGAGGCTGTAGAACCAGCCTGGCCTTGAACTCACAGAGATCTGCCTGCCTCTGCCTCCCGAGTGCTGGGATTAAAGACGTGAGCCACCACCACCTGACTCTCTTTTCTTTCTTTGTTTTTTTGTTTGTTTGTTTGTCTTTTGAGACATGGTTTCTCTGTATTGTTGGGAGGCTGTCCTGGAACTAGCTCTGTAGACCAGGCTGGCCTCAGACTCACAGAGATCCACCTGCCTCTGCCTCCCAAGCGCTGGGATTAAAGGTGTGCACCACCAAAGCCCGGCGCAACTGCTCTCTTTTCATGAATGCTTTGGGGGATTCTATTATGAGTAGACAGTCCTGAGGTGCTCTACAGAAAGAAAAAAACACCACTTTTCTCTAGGCAGAAGCTTAGACATAGAGCCTGCCCTTAGAGGATGAGCATCTGCATGTTTGCTGAGCCTCTTTGCCAGCGCGCTCTCCCCAGATGTGGTCCCTTCACGACTGGCAGCCTCATGGGCAGAATGCAATGACATCATCTCATCGTTCAGACTGGCTCTGCTAATCCCATTCTGTCTTCTCCCTCTTTCGCTCCTTCATATTTCTATGGCAGAAGTAAAGGCTGTTTGTATTCATTAGGAGAACTATTTTGGGCCAGGGAGATGGCTCAGCAGGTAAAGAAAGGGGCCTGCTGCAAAGCTGACAACCCGAGTTCGATTCCCAGGACTCACCCGATAAGAAGGAGAGAGCCAACTCCCGCTCCTGACGTCCACGCCTGTGGTTTAGCATGTGCGGGCAGCATGCCAAGTAAGTAACTATAAGAACACGAAAGAGATTATATTTCACTTCTTCAGTGTTTTCCTCATTCTGTACCATTGATATCACAGACACTCGACACCGTCTCTTGTAGATGACATGTAGCATCCTCCCACCCTACCCCTAATTTCCCCACCAGGTGAGAACCATGAAAACCATACTTAGAAGACAGCTGAGGTTCTGATTCCTCGTGGAGTCCCATTCGGGGACTAAATAGGTGGGGGACCAGCCAGGTCCTGGAGAGCAGAAGGACAGAGCTGCGGTGCCAAGCACTGAGCGAGACAGGAGGACATCGCATCATAAGCAGGTCACTGTTGTAAAAGAAAAAAACAAACAAAACAAACAAACAAAAAAAAACAGGGAAAACAAAGTGGCGTGATCTTCCCTGAAATCAGGAGGCTTTTCAGAGTTCAGTGTGGCCCAGAATCACCAGATGCTTCTTCAAACAGCAGCCGAGTTCTCATCTTTGAGTTTCTAACCCCGGGGTTAGGCGAGCTGACTACCTGTTTGGTAGTTGACGCCCAAGGCATTTGAGCTTCCCGTTCCCTCTTCTCAGAAGCCTTTAAGTGACCTCTGTGGAGACATCTGCAAGGTGTCTGCTCGTTGGCAGTGTCTTG